CTTCTGTCGAATCTCTTCTTCCATCTTGATGGGCGAGCCGAGCTCAGCCACCTGACGAACTCCCTCGCTGGCGTAGCCTCCATATTCCCACAGCACATAGGTTCTGGAGTGGGACGCGCCAATCAGAGCGGACCAGTGGTTGGCTCTTCCTGGAGGACAGGAGCACAGTCGGATTAAATTCTGCTGATTATTTCAGGTTTAGCTTCGTTGTTTTGAGTATTAGCTGAGGAATCAGTTCATCCAGTGTAATGTCAGGGCAGAGGCAACCGCAACCATCATAAGCTGTAAATGTAGAAGCTGTGAGAAAGATGAAAACATCAATATTTGGACACAAGAAAAAACTCCTGTTCATCATGGAGAAGGACCCTTCTTTCTGGAAGAAGAGTGACAGGTGTTCAGCTGTACCTGATAATGAAAACTTCCAATCACTGTCACCCTGCTGTCGGGAGGGAAACACAGCTGTTTGTATCCAGTGTGAGCTCTGCAACGTGGTGAAATCTGTTACGTTACTCTGAGGAAGAAACCAGCGAGACGAGCGGGACTGCAGCAGTTCTGCTGTCATTTTCCTCGTCGCTGCTAAAGCCAGAATCCCACTGACTGTTGGTGTCATGGAAACATGTGAGAGGAAAACGCTGTGGGCTTATAGTAAGATGTCCTTTTGCATTTTACAAGAAATGTTTTGCAACATTTGTATGAGATCTGTGCAAATCTCATGTAGTTTTAGGTTGGAATTCAGTCACCATCCATCCATCATCCATTCTCTTCCGCTTAATCAAAGTCAAGTTGTGGGGGCAACAGCCTAAGTAGAGAGACCCAGACTTCCCTCTCCCCAGCCAGCTCCTCTGGGGGAATCCCAAATGGTAAATGGCCTGTATTTGATATAGCGCCTTCTAGAGTCCTGGAACCCCCCAAGGCGCTTTACAACACAACCAGTCATTCACCCATTCACACACTGGTGGGGATGAGCTACGATGTAGCCACAGCTGCCCTGGGGTGCACTGACAGAGGCGAGGCTGCCGAGCACTGGCGCCACCGATCCCTCCGACCACCACCAGCAGGCAATGTGGGTTGAGTGTCTTGCCCAAGGACACAACGACAGCGACACACTGAGCGGGGCGAGCACTTAACTCATGTGTCACCGTCACCCCAAGGCGTTCCCTGGCCAGCCGAGTCCCTCCAGTGTGTCCTGGGTCTTCCTTTAGGTCTCCTCCTGGTTGGACGTGCCCAGACAACCTCACCAGGGAGGCACCCAGGGGGCATCCTAACTAGATGCACGAGCCACCTCAACTGGCTCCTCTCGATGTGGAGGAGCAGCGGGTCTACTCTGAGCCCCTCCCGGGTGACCGAGCTTCTCACCCTATCTCTAAGGGAGAGCCCAGCCACTCTGTGGAGAAAACTGAAAATTTTGCATCTTATTTGTAATTTTTTGTCACCTTTCAGATCCAAACTCTCAGGTTCTCCAAGAATTAAAACTACAAGTGTTCCAGCTTTAGGAGGCCAATATTCCCAGGACAAATCTCGTTCATCCTATTTTTTTCCATTTTGTTTCAAGGGGGACGTGTTATGCGACTCGGTTCGAGTCAGAAGGCTCTTGTGAACCTCGGACAATCACAGCAGGCATCAAACTTGTATTTGCAAACAAGTCCTTAAGAAAATGGGAAAAATAAGGTTTTTGTTGTGTATATGGATGTTTGTGCATATGGGAAACCTCTCCTCTCTTATGGAAAAAAATCAGCTTTCTCACTTCGGAAGCTTCAGATTGATAAATTATAAATATATTCCAAATTATGCCAATGTCTTTGTAGCGGCATTGAAAGCAACATGCAAAACACTTCAACCTCTAACTAATGATTAAGGTTTGCTTTTGCTACGTGGACACATTTGGACCGTTGCTGAGTTGTCCGAGAAGGTTTTTGGTGATGCAAACACGTGAAAACCTTTGAGCAACAATGTGACCCTGACATGATTTACCAAATAGAAGTCTCCTGCAGTGCACGTGAGTGTTTCAGTGCACGTCTACCAGCAGAACTCACTTGGATAATCTTTGGGATGAACTTCCTCCGACCAGTTGCCGTAGAACGTGAGTCTGTACTTGGCCGTTCCACAAGCGCAGCACTCCATGGCCGGCACTTCTGTGGTTTCACCGCGCTCTACAGAAAAACAGCAGGTGAGCAAGGTGACCCACACATGGAAGGACGCATGTGCGCGCACACACACACACACACACACACACACAACAGAAGTCACAGCCTTGCTGGTAATCCAACCAACTCTCCTGTTCGCAGGCAGGCAGGCAGGCCGGCAGACAGACAGACAGACAGACAGACAAGCAGGCAGACAGGCAGACATGCAGGCAGGCAGGCAGACAGACAGACAGACAGACAGACAGGCAGACATGCAGGCAGGCAGGCAGACAGGCAGACATGCAGGCAGACAGACAGACAGGCAGGCAGGCAGGCAGACAGACAGACAGACAGACAGGCAGACATGCAGGTAGGCAGGCAGGCAGGCAGGCGGACAGGCAGACAGACAGACAGGCAGACATGCAGGCAGGCAGGAAGACAGACAGGCAGACATGCAGGCAGACAGACAGGCAGACAGACAGACAGGCAGGCAGGCAGATAGACAGACAGACAGGCAGGCAAGCATGCAGACAGACAGGCAGACAGACAGATAGACAGACAGGCAGGCAGACGGACAGACAGACAGGCACGCAGGCAGACAGACGGACAGACAGACAGGCAGGCAGGCAGACAGATAGACAGACAGACAGACAGGCAGGCATGCATGCAGACAGACAGGCAGACAGACAGATAGACAGACAGGCAGGTATGCAGGCAGGCAGGCAGGCAGGCAGACAGACAGACAGGCAGACATGCAGGCAGACAGACAGGCAGACATGCAGGCAGACAGACAGGCAGACAGACAGGCAGGCAGGCAGGCAGACAGGCAGACAGGCAGGCAGGCAGATAGACAGACAGACAGGCAGGCATGCATGCAGACAGGCAGGCAGACGGACAGACAGACAGGCACGCAGGCAGACAGACGGACAGACAGACAGGCAGGCAGGCATGCATGCAGACAGACAGGCAGGCAGGCAGGCAGACAGACAGACAGGCAGACATGCAGGCAGACAGACAGGCAGACATGCAGGCAGACAGACAGGCAGACAGACAGGCAGGCAGGCAGGCAGACAGGCAGACAGGCAGGCAGGCAGATAGACAGACAGACAGGCAGGCATGCATGCAGACAGGCAGGCAGACGGACAGACAGACAGGCACGCAGGCAGACAGACGGACAGACAGACAGGCAGGCAGGCATGCATGCAGACAGACAGGCAGACAGACAGACAGACAGACAGACAGACAGGCAGGCAGGCAGAGGCATTGCAGTGTAGCAGCAGCATTACACACATTAAGACAGAAGAACCAGTGAAAATGTCACAAAATGACAATGTTGGTAAGAAGTTGTGTTTAAATGACACATTAGCCATGACACAGGCCCCTAAATATTCTAATTCTGCTCTGAACCAATGTTCTGGAAAGATGGGTCAAGGCGATAAAATGAATATTTATGAATCAGCCAATTACAGAGTGGAAATCCCCCCCCCCCCCCCCCCCCCCCCAGCGTCCAGGTGACAGCAGGATGAGTCAAACATGGAAGGCTCCTAACTTATGTCAGCGGATTGAAACAGTGTGGCTTGATCAGCTCGCATGAAGGCATGGAAAGTAGATGTTAGTGCAGAGGGAAATCATGAAAGCTCCAGATTAGCTCTGAGAAATCCATTTAAACATGATTTTCATAGTAAATGTTGACACGACAAGATGAAACCTGTTCTGCTGTGACCTACGAGGACACTTTTAATCTCTGCTTAGGTTCCCGTGGGACATTTTGCCTTGCACCTTTCTCAGCTTTACAGGGTTTTTGTGATACAGGAGGACATAAAGGATTGTGAGTTTATGTGCAGCAGAAAGCAGGAACCGAGCTTCAACAGCAGCGTGGCGATCGGCGGAAAGCTGAGCAGCAAAGCGGAAGAGAAGACGGGCAGCTGTTCATTACCTTTCTCATACAGTCGCACGGTGAGAGAGCCTTCATCCTGGAAATAGATGACTCTCTTCTGGACAATACTGGCCCTGTGGATGCACGGAGAGAACGGGTCATGCATGGCAAAGCTGCACTCCCTGTGACCCAATCCTCATGTAAACCTATTAAGGTAGCGCGACTCGGGTTGCGAATGACCACAGTCACCAATTCTTGTCATGCGTCCATGCCTATGTACGTATGTCTGATGTCAGAATTGTGTGTACTGAAACTCTAATTTCCCTCTGGGATTAATAAAGTATGTTTGAATTTGAATCAGAGATGTTAAAGAGACGGGATGAAAATGGAAAAATAAGGAAAAAGTCACAAAGACACAAAGAAGTGCATGGAATGAATCATTTTGTATCAGATCTGTGCAATCTTTAGTGAAAAAGACAGGTAATGGTGTCCCTGAGGTTTCATAATGGACACAAAGTACACATCAGGAAAAAAATCATCCCATCTCTGAATCTAATGACACAATCATCCTGCTGCAATAGGAGCAATCATGCCCACGGAGATGGACAAAGGAGAGCAGGAATTGCGCTCAGGAGACCGGATCTTCACACGGCATTTACACCAAATCCAGCTTTGTGGTAGCCTGGCAAGCCAGACTAAATAAATGTATTATTTTTATTATACAAACTTTGCAAAGCAAGAATTTGGTCTAGTTCACTAGGCTAGCTTTGTGGCTGAATATGGCAGAAATTTAAACCAAGTTGAAATAATACACAGAATGCCTGACAGACTCAGGGATTCAATGATTTTTGCTGCCTTTGATAATCAGAAGAGAAAAATATGGTAAAATGACGAAGGAACAGAAAGTTCTGCCGGCCTTGCTCAGCTTCATCATTGATCTTTTTCACAAGCTTGTAATATCTCACTGATCTAGCCTTGGAGCAGCTGTGAAGGTCTGTGCTAATGTTATCTGCAGAAAGCTTCAGCGATACTAGAAGATCCTTCCTCTCCGAGGGTCATTAGGTCAGCCCCTGGAGGGTCTGTCACAACTGCACAGAGGTGTGTTCAAGTCACGACTCTGCAAGTCACAAGCAAGTCACAAGTCTTTCCAGTCAAGTCTCGTGTCCAAAGTCAGTGATGAGGAAGTCCAAGTCCTTAACTCATTCACTTTAAGCCTGATTCATGCTTCTCCGTCTGCGTCAGCGCGAAGACACGCAACGTCCTTGCAGGCCTGCTGGAGAGCTCCGCAAGGACAGACGGAGTCGAGCTCTCTTTTCTAAACATCCGTCAGTCGAGACGGACAACACAAGCTTGTGATGGGTCAGGGCGCCGCTGTCGTCTACACCGCCGCCATTGCGCCCTCAAAAACATAAAGAGAGCCGAGGATAACTAGCGGCAGACACAAAGCAGCTTGAAGAATACCTCGCGAAAAAACTCTAAAAAAATGAACGTTTAATTCCCCCGTGACTGGAGGAGTGAAACGATGCGCAGCAAGCGTTTTATTTGTGGACAGAAATGACAGGAAACGTGGGTTTAGAGGTGGCGAACGCATGAAGAGGTGGAGGAGGATGAGAGACAAATTTGTCCGTGTTAAAAAGTCTCTTATATACAAAAAAAACACAATATAAACACACTATCTTGGACCGATACATGACAGGATACCACAGAACAGCACTACGCCCTCTGCTGTCCTGGCGGGGAATTGCTTTGCAACGCTCTCCAGGAGACGAAGAAGTATGAAAGCAAAACGCTTCCGTCAGTCCGTGCGTGTCTCTCCCTTGCGGAGCTGACAGAGAAGCATAAACCAGGCTTTAGTCGTCATTTGCATGTGTGAGACATAATATGTGTTCTGTAACCAGCCACTAGGGCAGCTTGTTTGTTTCGGCTTCAACTGCAGGTTCAGTTTAAAGATTCAATTCAATTCAATTTTATTTATAAAGCGCCAAATCAGGACAAGCGTCGTCTCAAGGCACTTCACATAATAAACTTTCCAATTCAGGTCAGTTCATTAAGCCAATCAGAAAAATGTTTCCTATAAAAGGAACCCAGGAAATTGCATCGAGTCACTGACTAGTGTCAGTCCTCATCCTCATAATAAGCAAGCATGTAGTGACAGTGGAGAGGAAAACTCCCTTTTAACCAGAAGAAACCTCCAGAGGATCCTGGCTCATTATAAGCAGCCATCCGCAGGGACACTACGCAGTTTTGGCTTGATTTTAGCACCCCCTAGAGTCCGTTTTAACTCACTGGCGTAAAACCAAAAGTGAAACTTATCACTTCGCTGTGCGTTCGTCTTCAACACCATAGCATAACTCTCCTGTCCTGCCCGTTTTTCACGTCTGTGCTTCAGCACACCTAATTCACATTTGAATTGCCTCCTCAGGAGAACATCAAGTGCTGCAGATGCCTGTTGATCATTCATTCATTTTAATCAGCAGGGAAACACAGGTGTTTGAAAACATGCAGTGCAGGGGGTCCTGAGGAGCGGAATTGAGAAACGCTGATCTAACAGCTGACATGTCTCCTCAGCCTTCATTAGTGTCTGCAGGAGGGGTTCATCACTAAAATAAACAAATCAGCCGTGTTTACGATCTAAAACATGCAGAAAACACGCTGGAAGCAGACTGCAGCTCTAGCATGTCGGCTCTTCTTTACCAAGTTCATCAGGAACCAGTCTGGATATTCTGAAGTTGCAAGCGCGGCATTTTGGCCACAAACGTTTCACTAACCCTGTAAAGCAGGGCTATTCAATTCCGGGCCTCGGTGGCCGGTACCCATCAGCTTTTGGTTTTAACTCTGCTGCAACACGCCTGATTTCAACTTGCAGGTGATCAACAGGCTTCTGCAGAGCCTGATGAGCTGCTGCAACGGGTCATTTAAGCACTTACTGGCTCAAGATTTATGTCGGGGGGGTTTCTTACTAAGTAGCTGGAAATTTTTGGGACACATGGCTATTTGAAAAAATAACTAATGTTGGGTGTGAAGGAAATTAAATACAACCCAACAGGAATTTAGAAGAAAATCAGATTTTGGACATTTAGAGCGTGCCTCGCCTGTAAAATAGTGTTAGTTTGATCGCTTTCAAACCAGATTTCTGCTCTGACTGTCAAGCGGAGTAAACAGGACACGAATTGTTCTAAAACATCTCTGGTTTGTGCCTCACACTGAAGCGACAGCTACACCACAGTCCTCCACAGCAGAATAAAGCCACGCAAGTCTAAATCAGCATCGGTGTTTAGTATTCTGAGAGCTTCGGGGGTTTCGAGAGATGCTACAAATAATCTCGTCTCGTGATCAATAAAAAACAACATCTGCGTCAGGACCGCAGCGCTGGGATCACGCCGTCAAACGACTTCAGTGTCTCACAGTTAGACTTCTGTTGTCACCGAACAAGCAGACGGATGGTGGCCCCTTCCTCATCCTTGGACTCGGCATCGGAATACCGATGAGGAAGGATGAGCTGGAGGTCGATGTGAGGTGAAAGTGTGATGAACAGACAGCCGGAGGGCACCGATAAAGAGGAGGCAAACCTAAGCACAAAACCTGATAGTGATCACCAGGACTGAAAAAGAATTAGATTGACAAATAGCCCGCCTCACCCTCCACTCATCCCGACTTAGCTGTAGGTGGGAGACACTTCCTAGAAATGGAAATACTTTCCAGGAGTTTCTGGAGATTCAGGAACAGATACGAGTTCAGCGCATCACCCTGCTTCTCCTCCAGCTTCACTGGCTGCCAGTCAACTTCAGGGTTCATTTCAAGATCCTGGTTCTGGTCTATAGGGCCTTACATGGACAAGCGCCATCTTACATTGGTGATCTTCTTAGTCCCTACACCCCCAGCAGGTCCCTGAGGTCCAGTGACCAAAGCCTACTGGTTGTGCAGCACCAGGCTAAAGGTCAAAGGTGACAGATCATCTGCTGCTGTGGCCCCCAGACTCTGGACCTCTCTCCCCCTGAGCCTGAGATCAGTGGACTCAGTGGTCTCCTTTAAAAAGCAGCTGAAGACTCACCTGTTCAAGCTGCTTTTTGTATGACCTTCTTCACCTCTCTCTCTTTATTCTGCTCTCCCCACCTATTCCACCTTCCTCAGGATCCACTGATTTCCCTCTTTCCTGTTCACTCTCTCTCTTTCTTAACATTTTTTTATCGCAATTGTCTATTTTTGCTCATTTTAAATATATTTTTTCAACATTTTCTAAATGCTTTTTTATATTTTTACATTTTTTTGCTTTTGTGAAGCGCCTCGTGATTTTTATCTTGAGAGGTGCTATAGAAATGATATTTTCTTCTTCTTCTTCTCATCAGAGAAAAACCTTCGTGAGTGGAGGTGAGGAAAAAACGCACAAACAGAAAGATCGACTCATGCAAACACAGCCCGTCAGCCAGAGGAGCTCGCTTATACAAGAACTTCCCGCTCGCACGGAAATAAAAGTCAAAGCCTGGCGCAAATAGAAAAGAGCATGTGTCAGAATCAGGAGAAAGGAGGAAAACTGTTGGTGAGGGACTGTTCCTGCAGCCATTTGAGAAGATCTGGGCACTTTCACATGAAGCAGAAATGCTTTACTCCATATGGAGACAGATGTTTGCATCCATCGATGTGTAAGAATTAGGCGTGAGACTTTATTCTGAAAATACAAAAGTCTCATTCACTGAGAAACTCTGACGAGCCTGTGCCAGAAAACGTTCACCACACCCGTCGACAGCATTCGTCGCAGAAAGGACAAACGGGACGACGATCGGGTGCAGAGAAGCTATGTCACAGGGAAAATTAGCATTCATGACCCCGCCCACTTTCACCTGGGACCGGCCGCAGTCTGGAAAGAGCAGAGCTAGTAGACGCTAACCGGTAGCAACTCCACAACACAACAGAAGACAACTGGGGTTGCGTTTTTGGTGGAGATAAAGCACCATTGATGCACTTTTTACACAAGAAAAAAAGAGCGAACGAATGCAGCGGAAGAGTCGTGCTGCTCTTAGCCAATCAGAGGTGAGACGTTTGCATATCGTGAATATTAATGAGTAAGACTCTAAGTCCTGTCGGGCACATGTACGGGTTTCTTCTCATCTGTTGTGAACAGATTTAGGCCTTGGCA